GTATCGGATGAGCCACAAGTAGGATCATCCCTAGGTGTAGAAAGGGCACTAGGAAAAAATTAGAATCTAATTATATATGTTTCAATTACGTAATCTAACTGAATTTTGAGAGATATGATTATATATTACACGATTGAAACATATAGAACGATTTTTTTTCCATTTTTCCAGAGTTGTCTTATACAGTTTTGGTTGGTAATCCATCTCTCATGGTAAGAGATTGGTTCACGAAATAAAACTCATCCTGTATATATTATAATAATAAGTAAGCAAATAATAATTACCCACTGAACAATATCTATTGCAGTTGGCGAAATACATTTTAATGATATGAATCTCGAAAAATCGTGGTCGTACATCCGTCCTTGGAAAGCATATCTGCAAAGCAAACTGGCCAATATACTATTTACGAAGGAACTTGCACATCGATTGAAAAGTAAGAAAAATTGAAGAATTAAAATTAATTAAAAATATAATTAGTTATATAAATTATTTTTAAAAATTAATTAACAATATACATATATATATAATTATTTTATTAATATTTTTGAAAAGTATCGCAGTTATTATACATATAAGAATTGTCTATGGTCAGTAAAAATATAAATTTTTCATATAATTATTAATTTTTTTGACGGTGTGACATTTCCTTGAAAGATAAATAGTATATTTAAGTAGAGTTGTTGCTAGGAAAAATATCAAAAAGTATAAGTTATTAACAAGTATTTTAAATTAATTATTATCACTCATGTTACAAATGCTTGATTTTCACTCAGCCTTCTTCATTTTTTATGTAAATTTGATTTCCAGATGCGAACATTAGCGGAATAAATACATACTCTTTACATCCTGGTATCATAAAAACCGAATTGGGTCGAAGCTTTAATAGCACGATAATTCCGGGTTCAAAATTATTCTATCAATATGTTATGTACCCATTCATCAAATCTCCTAAACAAGGAGCTCAAACAACGATACACTGTGCGGTTGATGAAAAAGTGGCTAATGAGACTGGTCTCTATTATTCGTAAGGACAAAATATATGATAGCACATCTTTTTTGTAATCTAATAAATGTAGAATATAAAACCAATGCGAGACTAAGGCGTAATTATATGAGTAATAAAATTGTTATGTTTTTCTCACACATGTGTAATTTAACAATTTGTGTACGCACATTTTTTATTTGATGTCTTGATAAAATGTTGTTGTCGACCTGTTATCTATTGGTGCTAATGAATTTAAACTAAAATTGAGATTGAGAGCTTAATTAAGATTGTATAACTGTACTTGATATAGAGAGAGATTGAAATCAAATACTATAGAAAGAAATATATACATAAATAATTTAATTGCACATAAAAAAAGAAAAGAAGTTGAATTTTTAGTTACATACATATATATTTGCATTTTAGACTTGTATTGGTTATATCAAATTTATATTTTTCAATAAATAATTCTTTTCACAACTTATTCTTTTAATAGAGAATGCCAAGTTACCAGACCGAGTTGTAGTGCAACCGATGACCAAGTAGCTAAAGATTTATGGAATCACACTTGTCAGCTTCTGGATTTAGAACTTAATGAAAACTTTTCTGTATTTTTGGAAAATGTCTCGCACCAATTTGATAAGGTGGACACATCTTTGAATCGTGGGTAACACACATGATTTTCTGTATTTGACACATTTTTATGTTTATATGCACAAAATCCGTAGAAATATAAAGAATGTTGATGGAATATACGGTGTCTGTACACATACATATATGAATTTGATGTATAAAAGTATTCTTAATAAGTTTCAACAAAATAAATGGTAAAATTAATGTAATATGTTACATCTCTTTTGAGATGCTTGCAATGGCACAGTTAAAAAGAAGAAAATAATAACAGTCATAAAACACTTTAAACATTAAACGTCTGAAACAATTATGTATGATGTATTGTACAGGGTGTACTAAAACCACCGGATATCCTTTTAATCGCAGATTCCTTAGAAAATTTCAAGAGGAAAATTCTAATAAAAAAATGTCGAGGCTATGATAGTTTTTAAATCATAAGCGATTATATTTCACAAATGACAGGTCTGAGATTTCGCGCGCTCAGGCACGGCGACATGATGAGTGATAAAAGTGTTCCTATGTGTTTCGCGAGCGAGCGAGAACCAAAGTCACCGTTTAACGGGACAGAAAATATTTGGGAAGACGATGCTCCGGTTATATTGAAAACTTGAGGATAAAGAGAGGCAGGAGACTAGATTGAATCTAACTGAAAATTCCAAGTTCACTCAGATCGACTAAATCGAAGGATATCAGTTTGATCAAGATGCTCATCATAGTGAACCCCTCCCTTTTATTAATAAGACGTTACACAAAGTTAACAAAAGAAATGGTTAAAGATAACAAGAGGAACAATTCATTTGAGAATGAATCGTTAAGTCTGTTGTCACTATGCTAAAAAGGGCGATATTCGTAGGAACACCTTTATCACTTGTCGTGTTGCCGTACCTAAGCGCGCGAAATCTCAGGCCTGTCATTTGTGAAATGTAATCGCTAATTATTTAAAAACTATTATATTATCAACATTTTTGTATTAGAATTTTTGTCTTGAAAGTTTCTAAAGAATTTATGATTAAAAGGATATCCGGTGGTTTTAGTGCACCCTGTATATTTAAGTTAAAATCTACTCTAACAAATAATTATGTGACTGAACACGATTCTTAACTGGGTTTTTCAAAATTATTAAATCTTTGTTTGTCCTCAACGTCACTATTTCCAATTGGTATTTCTTCTGTAAAATGTTATTAAATTGGAGATAGTGATTTTGCGGGGACACACACCTACACACACAAAATAAGTAAAATTCTATACATATACACGTTGTACCTGTGCGCGTACGTAAGTATAAATATGTATGTATTGTATACATATGCACATATAAATATGCATATAACTGATAGCGATTTCATACCTCCATGGAAAAAAAAATATTTTTAAATGTCCGTGAAAATATAATATATCTTATACATATATTTAGTACATAGAAATTCTATTATAAAAATCATATAAAATATTGTATGTGTTAAAATTATAATTAAAATATATGTAAAATACATGAACATATATAAATTACATATTTATAATATGAATGTAACACATTTGTTTATATATTTATATTATATTATGAATGATATATGAAAAGTGCCAAATTCTATATATTAATAATATTTTTTATATCGCATATACGAGATATATAAAATTATATAAAACAAATATACCATTTCTATTTTTCTTTATATGTATAATGAAATATATTATTTTCCATGGGGGTAACGAGCGAATAAGAATTTTATTCATTTTATTTCAACCCCGGGGAAAAATTTTCACATTTGATCATATATGTATATGGACATTTTTCGTATATGAGCATATATGATTATACATATGTATATGATCATATGTGAAAATTTTTTCCCGGGACGTACCAATTTTTCTTTAAGTCTGGCGTTATTATAATAATCTTTTTCGGTTTCTACGAAGAAAAATGCATATGAAAACAGAAATAAAACAATCCCAGAACTGTAACCCAATAAATGTTATACCCTTCTTTTTGTAGAGTGCATAGACATCTAAAACAATATCTAAAACGATATGATTAAAATGTTGTATTTGATTGTTTTATTTTATACTTGTTATGATTTTACATACGTCACATATAATGTATACGATATCTACTAACGTGCGTCCTCTATTTACAGAAGAAAGTATTTTTATATCTACTTCGTACAATATAAAAAATTGCGAAATTCCTTTTGTCACGACTGCAATATTGCAATATTGTAAGAGATAACACTGATAAGATAATAATATGTGTGTTAAGGTTAAAACATGTATAATTATTGCAACTTAACTATTATGCGGGGTCTACAATGAGAGTCGCAGAGTCGCAGTCGTAAGAATAATCGACTATGATTGGTCAATTCTTATGTGCCTGACGGAACTGACCAATCGCAGTCGATTATTCTTACGACTGCGACTCTCATTGTAGACCCAGCATTATAGCCTCCGCTACAATGATTCTCGGTTCTGTCTACAATGGTCGTAGTCGTAAGAATAATCGACTGCGATTGATCAATTCTTATCGAGCGACTACGACTACGACCATTGTAGACAGAACCGAGAATCATTGTAGCGGAGGCTTTAAGGTTACATTATGCCTTAACTGAAACTCATAACTATATGTAGTTCAATAAATAATGACTTGTAAAACATACATATACGCGAGTGATATTTTCTTTGCCAGTGATTAAATAACAGACAAGTAACATTACCAGTAAAGCATAAATTGTAATATTAATCACATGTACATATTATACATATATACTAGTAAATGGTACTAACGTTCTAAGAGACTTAGATTACTTTTTGTTTTTGGTTTTAAATGCACAATTATTTCAGAATGGCATTGATATCTGCAAATATTTGTTACTTTAAAATAATACATTTAAGAAAGACGTTGGAGTAATATAATATCTTAAAATAACTGTGCATAATGGTGACTATATAGCTCAGAAACATTGTACAATTATCGGGTATTAATCCAAATTCCATTTGTAAGGTAAATACCCTAAC